TTCCTTCCTTCCTTCCTTCCTTCCTTCCTTCCTTCCTTCCTTCCTTCCTTCCTTCCCCCATATAATATAGGCTTGCACTGTTTGCCCTCCCCTCATGACCTTTAGGAGAGCCCCAGGGAAGCCTCCTCCTCCTCTTCCTTCTCCTGCTCCTCAGCTGACCGGTGGAACTGCCTGCCACTCTGCTGGGGGGAGGTGGAACAAAGGGAGTCACAGACCGTGAGGAAAACTGCACCCCCAATCCTCATTCTAGTGTGTCCTCCCCCTCCCTCAAGGAAGGAAGAGAGCTCACCTGTCAACCACCGGCACCCCCCAGTCAGCCCTACCTCGCCAGCAGGCATCCGAATCGCTCCCTCATCCTTCCCTCAACATCCATCGCCATTAAGAGATTTCAGATTTCTGCCTTGGTTCCAAAGCAGTCAATTGCCGCTCACCCATTGGGCCTTTCCACCAGCCAATTGGGCACAGGGGACAGAGGGAGGCAAGAAAGAGGTTGGGGATACACCCATGACAATCACCTGACCTGGGCTGACTGCTGCGGAGCAGCAGCACAGCAGTGCTGAAGCAGCCACAAATTTCCCATATTTCAATCCCATGGGAGTCAGGGGTGGATGCATCCTGTAAGTTACCCCTTTTGAGGTACCTTGGTTCAAAAATTGTTGCCCTATGATGTACCGTTTCGCCCAGTTGAAGGTTATAGACACAAGAGTTTTAGTAGTATATAGATAAATATTCCCGTATAAGGATTCTGCACCTGTCTGAAACCAAGCTGATTCATTCACTGCTCATTTCCACTCTAGATGAAACAGCTAGATTTGGGTGAGGGGATTTAGAGAGATACTATGGCTGCTTTTCCCACCTCTCCTTCCTTCTGAATTTGAGGGCCTGTAAGGAAAATGTTTTCCTGATAGTTTAGCTGTCCCCCCTCAGTAACCCAGAAAAGAAGGAGGAATGAACTGACAAGAGTTTCCTCCATTTCTCCCTTTTTTTCAACACCCCCAAACATACAAAGCCTTACCTACTATAGGATTTTGAAACATCAGTGAATGGTGTTTGGACAGGGAGTAAGGTTGGCAAGCTGTAGCTTATGTCCTAACCAAATACTTTATATTTACTTCCACCAGGACCAGGATCAGTGAGGAACTGAAGGATCTGATTCTGAAGATGCTGGAAAAAAACCCTGAATTAAGAATAACTGTTCCTGAAATTAAGGTAAGCAATTACGAGCTTTAGTGGCTTGTTGAAAATGTTGCTTCCTCTGAGCTGTTCCGTATCACGGTAATTGAATAGATAGATTAAATCTTATTTAGTGTTCTCAGCAGTAATGTGCTGCTAAAGTAGCTTTCCCCAACCTGGTGCCCTGCAGATGTGTTAGCCTATACCTCCCAGAATTTCCAACCACTGTGAATTTTAGGAGCTGTAGCTCAGCACATCTAGAGAGTATTGGGGAACAGTATATTAAACTTTGAAATGTAAGGGTTTATAATAACTGTATGCGTGTATGCACTGATGGACAAGAATGAGGTACCCCACTAATTGCTAACATTCATAAGGGTGCTGATAGAAATAATCAAATGATAGAAATTAGAAGCTTGAATGCAAAAGTTAGAAAAGCAGTGCAAAAGCTAAGCCTGCTGAAGGTAACCCCAAATGTATCATGGGACAAGACGAAAGGCCAGTAGACAGGAAACGTGAAATGGGAAGCTGTGGTTGAAATCAACACTAGAAGACAGCAGCTACTGTTGCAATCTGGCAAATATAGATTAGGAGAGGCATTAGAAATGTTCATGTAATCTTAAATATTGCTGACCATTGTAAAATATTGTATAAGAAATCGCAGAAACAGCAGTTAGAGATCATCATCTAAGGGAAAGGTCAAACCATGGTCATAATGAGTTAGGTTTGTGGTAAAAGAACTATAAGAGACCCCTGAACAACAAGGTGGTTACACAGACCTTCAGAAAGATCTTCTTGTGTCCTTTTTTCTGCACAGAATCAAGTTTCACTTCAGTCTCCACGTCAGTGTGTTTCTTTGGGCGTTTAGCACCCCAGGACTGAACCCAGATTTGGGCTGGGTCAACATGCACTGCAAAGAGCAGTGGCCCGTAGCACCCACATAATGCAGATCAGCACAGTTCAGTCCTAGAAACCAAACCATACTCCCTTTTGATTGCTTAGGATCAGGTATCAAAATGCACTGAGCTTTAACCAAAGATATTTTGCGAATTGAAATGCAGCCTCTAGAAATTCAAACCATCTTGCTGAAAGTAATTGTTACTGAAGCTGCTAATCTGAAATAGTCATCCCATCAAATTTAAAAAAAAAAAAAGATCTGGACTCTGCTTGATAACTCTTCATTGTTTGGCTGGTTAGATGCTAATATGTCATAATCTTAAAATGTGAAAGCTTTGCTATCTAAGCTATTTGCTAGGACAAGAAGAGTGACAGTTACCATATCATGCTACCCGGTGGTTTTATGGCTCCTGTGTTTAAAAAAAAAAAAATCTAGGAGCTGCACTTCCTTATTTCTTTTTCCAGTGCATCCTTTCTGATAAACATTCAGTTAAATGGATTCACATGACTAAGACATCAAGCTCGGCCATGAATTCATTGAATGTCTTTTGGCAAGCCTATCTTTTTTAGATTCAGCTATACCACCATTGGAGGTCATAATTCTGGTTTGCTTTACAGCAGCTTTTTCAAAGGGTGGGTCATGATCCCAGAGAGACCCCAAAGCAACGCATGGACATTTGCAAGAGTTCCTTGCTGGTTCTTCCAAGTCTGATGCAACAGTATGCCAAATGTAAAACAACATGGCAGTTCCAGGCCCCTTCATGAAGTTTTGTTGTTTTGGTGTAGGCTTTCATATCCCATATCTGTTGGGCTTCAGGAGTTAGTTACTGTGGTCTAGACAACAGATTTCCTGATGTTTTGCTGGCAACTGTGGCTGGCATCTTCAGAGGCAAGGTGGTCCGCCCTTTTGTTTTATTTTTAGCATATTGCATTTGCCTTTTAAAGGATGGATAATCTTGCCGGGAAGGTATAAGGTTTCTTGCAAAGCTCTGATCATCTGGCCTGACCTCTCACTCTATAGATTGGATAATGATGGAGGAAAAGAGGAGGGGATCAAGCACAGTGAGGAAGAAAGTGCAAAAAAAGGGAAGGGATTTATGAGCACCAAGCACCAGGCTGGAAAGGAAAGACGAGGGCTGCGATTGTTATCAGATGCACCAGGAGAAAGCAATCCACCGCCTGTCAGTGTTTTGCAAGCTGCAGTATTTTAAATCAAATTAAGGAAGGTGATTTAAAGCAAAGAGATTTCCTTTCCTTTCCCTGCTTTAGTGAGTGAGAGTAGCCATCTTCAAAATTAAATCCAAATTTCAGGAATTACGCAGAAGTAAGCATGCTCACCCTTCCCATTAAAAACATGAGTTAAAATTTATAAAAAAATATTTCTGTCCAATGAAATGGGCTTATTTTTTATAAACTTGTATGGTTCTTTCATTGTTCTATTTGGTACATAGGTTTAAAGTAATTATGAAAAGTAAGTAGCGCATTGATTTCTTGCCTAACCTGAACAAAATCATTAGTCTTATTTATGGGAGGAAGTTTGCACAAAATCATGTAAATAATTTAGGGGATCACATTATTGCGAAGTTTGGGAATCCCTGCTTTATAGGTTTATTGTGCAAATCATCGTGAAATGCACTAGAGATGCTAAAGAGTGGTATGTTACTCCCAGTAGCAAAAGAATAATAGCAGTAAGCAAGCAACTAAGCTACTTCCAGTATGTTAATATTTACATCATGTCCAAATGATTTGGCTATAGACAAGGATATTCCTAGGCTGAATCTTCTCTTTTTCACGAGTTAATGTTTTAGGTGACCTTAGACCAGTGTTTCTCAACCTTGGCAACTTGAAGATGCATGGCTGGCTGGGGAATTCTGGGAGTTGAAGTCCACACATCTTCAAGCTGCCAAGGTTGAGAAACTCTGTCTTAGACCAATGGACAGAATTTAGATTTAATCAGAGCCAAAATCAAAACAATGACTGGGGAATGGAGCTTCAACTAAAAGGAAAACTGGTTTAGAAGAACAAGGCAGTTGCCTGCTGTGTTCTTTAGGCTAAACACAGAAGTAGCCTGATTGTACAGGTCGAGTTCTTCATTTGATTTTACTACAAATCCGGGATTCAAAGAGAACATTCAGAAACAGCCCGTTGAGCTGCATAAGGGCATGATCAAACGCAACTAACTGATTTTACCAAGAAGGAACACTAAGGGCCCTTTCCCACTTGCATGCAACAAACATTCCCTGACAAAATCTTTACGCTGTTATCCTTAGCCCATATGGTAAAATGTTCTTAGCTGTACTGCTCTTAATGTAGAGCTATCAGATCTGAGTTGCAAAAATCTAGATTACTATAGATGTCACCAAATAGATAACACAAACTCTGTTGCTTGCCAGTTACGGGTAGTCCAGAGGGTGCAGCTCAGATCCGCTAGTTCTCAAGGAGTGTTTTCCTCTTAAGATGACAGGAAACAGTGGCAGTTTCAAGATATGTTAATTTGACCTGCTTTGCTGTTCATGCTCTCTGTGGCCCAGTTGGGTGATCTTTACAGGATGGGATCAGCCTAACACTTGTTGTCCACTTCGAGCTGATATAGACATTCCATCTCCCCTCCAGACAGTCTCCTTTATTCTCCTTTTTTCTCCCCCTCCCTGCAGAAAGAGTTGGGGATATGTGTAGTTTTGAACAAGCTGAGCTGTCCTGGGTGGAGGAGGTCATAGTTATTTCAATGCCCACCCCCCCAGCCTTCTGAAAGAACCACACTCGCCTACCTCACCTCTGCAAGTCCATTCAGCTGTTCAGTGGGCTTGTGAAGTTGGCAAGCAGACCTGCCCTCTCCTGCTTAGTGGCATTGGATAAAGTAGGAGAAGCCAATGTGGATACTACTTCAGTGGCCAGCTAAAACAAGCAGTAGGTGCAGGATAGAGATTTTACAGTGGGGGCAGCAAATGTTTATGTGGGTATGGTCCTCTGTTAGCTCAAGGAGGGTACATTGCACTTCAATTTGGCTGTGGGGAAAAGGCCCTTTGGCCTAGATATAAATTTCGCAGAATTGTTCCTTTTTGTTTTTTCCCTTTCTAAGAAAAAACAAGTTGCCTCAATATTGGCCCGTTATACAGCCCACAACTCTGAGGACTCAGAGATGAATGTCTCTCTTTCTTCTTGAGCGTCATGGAGATTGTTGTACGCCGCCCAGAGTTGCTTTGTGTGAGATGGGCAGCTATATAAATGTGACTAATAAATAAATAGCAGTATGGCATACTATAAAGATGATGATGTTAAAGGTCTTGAACTCCAAGAAGGTGCTAACTGTTGTTTGATTTTGCAAGTTTCGTGTTCTTTACCACTGCAGTTATTTCTTAGTGCCATATTGAAAAAACAAACTGGCTCCTTTGATTAATTTTACACAAAGAAATAGTAGTCTGAAGGAGCAGATAAGTCATCATGCACTCTGGTTATGTTTCTGTGCAGCGACATCCGTGGGTCACAAAGTTTGGCAAGGACCCTCTTCCTTTAGAGGAGGACCATTGCACCATAGTAGAGGTAACTGAAGAGGAAGTGAAGAACTCAGTTAAGACAGTTCCTAGTTTACCTGCTGTGGTAAGTATTACAGCTGCAGTACTCAGTTGGCCTCCTCCCCTCTGTTTTGTAGTTGATGGTGGGCAGCACAGAGTTGGGTGGCTGGTTAAGGGTTAGTTTATCTGCTTTTTGCCCAAAGCCACTGTGGAATGTATCATGCTTACCTGTGCTGCAGTAGAAACGTGAAGCCAGTTTTTCTGTAGCAGGAGCAACTAGAAGTAGAACCAGAAGCAGTTACTGTCAGATGAGGCTGGGCAGATGGTTTAGGGTTCTCTACTCTGCTGAGATGAAAACTCCTAGATTTAAGCAGGGATAGGGAAGTGCACAAGTGTCACAGTGGGTAGGATGATGATGTTGCAAACAGGCCAGGCCTATTTATTTTTATTTCTCTGACTTTTGGAGAGGGATTTGGTAAATCTTAGTGTTTGCAATGCAGTTGTTGTGCATCTTCTCCCTTAAAATGACAGAAAACAGTGCCACCAGTTTGGGGCAATTATGATCAGAAGGGAAAGATTAAAAAGTCTGCCTGAGCAAAAGCTTGTTCACCTGTGGCTTAAGGGATCCCAGTTGCTAAGCTGAGGCTGCACAACAGTAGCTTCTTTTGACAGTTCTGGTGGTTTAGAAGCCGTGTAATGTTTCTCCAACATGGTGCATTGAGAGATATTCAGAAGAGACTAAATTGATAGGTATAGATTCTTGTCCTTGATACTGAGTAGCCAATAGAAATCAATACCCTTCCAGTATCCAATATGCAGGGATTTTCATTCAAACCACAAATGGCCAAGCTATGTGCCACTCCAAAGCAGTGACAGACAGAAGCAGGCCACTCTTTCTGCACATGGCTTCAGATAGAGAGCAGTCAAATCATGAAACAGTCCTGAAATGTTGGTGGTCTAGAACAATGTTCCTCAACCTCAGCAACTTTAAGATGGGTGGACTTCAACTCCCAGAATGGCTGGCTGGGGAATTCTGGGAGTTGGAGTCCACCCCTCTTCAAGTCTCCAAGGGTGAGGAACACTGGCCTAGAACAATTCCTGGTTTGCCTTTATCGTGTAGCTGGTTCCACCTGGGAGCTGTTGTTCTTGAAAAGGCTAGGTTTAAACTAAGCCGGTTTTTAGCATGAAATCAAGGCAGCAGTTACACCTTTCCTTTTGAGTCAATTGAAGCAATTCCATCCACTTTGAAAAGACAGTAATTTGAGCAGTAAAGATCTAGGGCTCTCCAAAGCTATCTAAAATAATTGAGGGAGATGTCACTTTTTTTAGCTGTGTTACTTCTGTACTTCTGATTCTTCTCTTTCTCCATACATCCAAGATTTTAGTGAAAGCCATGCTGAGAAAACGGTCCTTTGCCAACCCATATGAGGCCCAAACCAGGCGAGAGGAACGATCTATGTCAGCTCCAGGGGATTTACTAATGTATGTAACTTTATATGCATTCTTAGCACTTGGGTGTTCAAGTTAGACATGGCAATTTCTTGCGTGCTCTTAGCACTTGCATGTTCAAGTTAGATATCACAAAGGAAGAAGATATAAGACTTGGTGTTGGAACCAAGTCCTGAATGATGGGCAACTGCATATTGATATAATGGAAAATAAAATGGCAATCTTCTATTTAAAATAATGACTCATACTGCTAGGGAAATGGGCAGCCAAAACATTGATGTAACATTTGTAGAAATATAAAAGGAGATAAAACCAGTATTAGAGTTTGCTGCCACTCAGAACAAATCCAATCACCCTACCAACTTTTAATTAATTTTGTTAAGCACACTTCAGTAAAGAAAGGTAAAGACACAACCTGTCAGTTTAATTTATGGTAAATGTTTTAGGAAGCATGCTGGAAATTGAGCCATGATCAATCTTGCAGCCCAGACATTCTTTAGCAATTTGTTCAAGGGCAGAAACAAAACTAAGTTCCCAAAACAAACTTCATCCTATATTCAGGATTTATTTTATTTGGAAAAAATGGTCAAAATGAAAGAGATCTTCAAGTACCAAAATGACTGTTACGTGGAAGAAGCATCAGATATGTTTTCTGTTGCTCTAGAACACTGTTTCTCAAACTTGGCCACTTTAAGACATGTGGACTTCAACTCCCAGAATTCCCCAACCAGCATGCTGGCTGGGGAATTCTGGAAACTGAAGTTCATACATCTTAAAGTTACCAAAATTGAGAAACATTACTCTAGAGAGCAGGGCAAGAAACCTGGCTAGAGAAGAAGCTAAGCATCCAGGAACAGTCTAAATAGAAAGAGTTGTTTGAAAGTGGAAGAGATTTTTTTTAAAAAAAAAATGGTTGTCATTATTTTGTTCTTCTGTTACTTATACAACACAATCAACATATGAGGTCTGAAATAATAGCACGAGACCTGTTTCTGCTGCTCAGTGTTTATAATTTAAACTTTAGTACTGAAGAAGAGAAGAAAAGGGAGTGACAAGGAGAAGGAAAGGACAGCTTCCTAAAATAGGGGGTCTGCAGAGGGTTGATGATTTTGGAACTGGAAGAGCAATTATAGCGATAAAGTTACAGATTTATTGTTCTGCCCCAGCATTCAAAGCAGACTGAGCTGAAATTGCCTTGAGTTTCCCTATAATAGGTAGAAGTATTCTAATAACATAAGTAATATGAACTACGTTTGGTTTTTTAAAATCCCCAGTTGAACCTCCCCTCCTCCCCTTCCCCTCCAGTTTGGGTTGCAGAGGCTTTGAAGTATGCGAAATTAATGTTCATTGCTAGTTGGAAGAAGGATGATAACTTTCATGTTCCTCTAAAAGGAAATGAAGAGAAGAAGTAATTAGAAAACCTTTCCAATTTTCACAATTTGTTTAATTAGACAGCATGAAAAAAAGTACTATTTTCTCTTCTCCTTAGAATTGCTTAAAGCAGTCTTTCCCAGATGTATTGGGTTTTAATTCACATAATTCCCTGCCAGAATTACCACTGACATAAAAAGCCTGTGCCTCTTAGGCATAATGCTGTTTTAAATTTTGCATTAAGAGCTTAGACAACCGAGTATATATTCTTTGACAACTAGTGCCAAATCATAAGTTCCTGAAAACCAATATTCTGTTTCCAAGATAGAAAAACAATTTAAAATCATATTCCTTGGAGGAGAAATCAAAGAGGGGATAAGTTTTCTGTTCTAATATATGTACTTAGCCAACTTCCCCTATAATTCTGTTTCCTCACAAGCAGTTCTATTGTATTCAAGAGATTCCTGCCATATTTATCATCCACATATTTTATGGAGACTAATCTCCATTATATGTAAGGTTGCCCTTTTAGATTCCCAACCATGCCAAATTAGTGATGAGTGGAATTTGCAGCCCTCCAGATGTTGCTGAACTACAGTTCGAAGCAGACTCATCCAGCATTATCAATGGTGAGGAATGCTGGGAATTGTAGTTTAGCAACATCTGGAGTTTTATATATTCCCTGTCTAATGTAGTTGGTGTTTTACAGTAACCAGGCTTATTGGGGCTTCTTCCATAGATTATGGTGTAAATAATCCTGGCTTATCTTTATAGGAAATGCAACCATAGCTGCTGATCCTGGAAACCACATTTACCCATCATAGTGAATACGTGCTCCAAAACTTGTAGGGTTCTCCTTTAAAGAAGTAATGGTTAAGGTCTTAGTCTAAGAGCATGAAGAACCAGGTTCTAGTCCACCTTCAGCCCTGAAAGCTTTGGGCCATCCACTTTCAGCCCAACCTACCTTACAGTGTGATTGTGTGGAAAAATAGGAGGAGGGAGTTCTATATACACTACTTTAAGCACCTCAAAGAATGGGGGAATATAAGTCAATCAAACCAAAAAATAAAATAAAGCAACCTCGGCCAGTGGTTAGCAGGAAACGTCATGAATTTATTTTGCTAATTTGAAGAAATTCTCCTTTTGTCTTCCTGTTACTCTCAAATCACATCTGAATTCTAGACTCCCCTCCCCCCGCCTCCACTTTCCATGAAAATGTTTTTCTTGGCTCTGCCGCATTTTGACCTTCTGATCTCTTGCATGTGGTCTGGTTATTTGACTGTTTCGTCCCCCTTCCCTTTCGTTTTGCTCTTTGCTTCCAGGCACGGTTTTCGGTTAACTCCCTCTGTATATTTGCATCCAGCTTTAAGGTAACTTGGTGTCTTTGTTCCTTGCACTGTGCAACGAAATCCTTCATTCCCCTCCTCCAACCTCCCCAGTGAATTTGTGCTGTTGTATGTGCTAGACCATGTTACTTACCTTTAGAGCAGAGGAAGTCTGTTCTCCCCCATGTGGCGCTTCATGTGCATTCCTAAGAGCCCTCTGCTGTCATTTTTCTTTTACAACTTCCTTTTTTTCCCCTCTTTCTTTAAAAAAAACACCACCACTTTGGTACAATTAATTGGTGGGGCTTGCAGTTCTGCTCCTATGCTCTAGAGCTAGACAGGGGGGCATAGCAATGGTGCCATGGACCTTATTCTACGGAGAATAGCAGAACGTGGAAGGACTGTTGTGTGTGTTTCAAGACACCCTTTATTGGACAGGCTGCCCAATGCAAGACTGGCTTTAAAAGAAGCCTAAGAAGGGAGAATGGGGCCTTTGAAACGGTTTACCCACAGTTACCACCTAGACAGCAGAAGTGGACAGCTCACTGCCCACAGGCCCTCCTTGCTTGTGTGAGATGTATTTCATTTCTGCTGAAATGACCATCATTACTTGCATCTCTATACTTATCACATACAAAGTTTATGCAAATTGACAGCTGTTTGCATGTGCATATTTTATGCAAACTGACAGCAGCTGTTTTTTCCGGCAGCGGTAGGCTTTTCTGCCTGCGATAAAAGACAGCCCTTTCACATGTCTCTTGGGATACCTAAGCAGACCAGATCATCTGTTCAAAATGATGCCCTGGGAACTCTAAAAGGCTATTAACTATTGTGGTGGTAACCTACCTACATGTGAACTGCATTCACTACCAAACCTATGAGGACCCCCCATCCCCAATACATGTGAACTGCTTAAAGTGCCCTTGTAAGGAAACATTCACAACAAGCTGAATTGTCCTTGTGTGGGAACAGGGAGAAGACTCAGTCAGGAACGTGTGGCCCAGTAAACCAAATTGTTTCTACACTGACCATATCTCAAAGACAGTATGACCAGCATGCCGACCTAGTAGGAAGGGATAAATAATAAGAAGGTCACCCAGATGGGTTTATCAAAAACATTACAATAGCATGCTCTAATTTACACTGTGCCTCCTTTTTTCTTTGTCTTGCCTTTGCAGTGTAGTAAGCCAAGGGTAAATAAGCCATGGTTCTGCCTTTGCTCAGGGCTGCCCAACAAGGTGTCAGTGCTTTGCTGGGAGCTCGGTATATGCTGTATTATTGTATGTATGCTAATAAATTTTGCATGCTAATAAATCTTAAGCACACCAAAAGACCCAGTAGCCCAAGAAGAAAAAACAGGAG